GCAGGAATTATCTAGGTAAGACTGAGCCTGTCACACACTCACAGGACACTTGGCTGCTGTGTGTATCAGTGAACCATAGTTTGCATCGCTGGCTCCACAGCTGCAGTGTGTAACAGCCAATTTAAATGACGTCCTGGACTTCCTGTCCCCGGAGACAGGAGGGCCTCAGCAGTCCAGTCTGGTCTCTGGACCTGCTGTGTGGTTTCCAGGCAACACAATAACCAAGGGCATCTATTCTCATCCTTGTTTATGGAACCAAAATAAAACAGTAATGACACCCACTGGTCTTGTAAGGCTTTATCTGACCGCTGGGGTAAGGCAGGTGAGGGTATTTGTTTCCCTGTCATGGAAATTCCCCTTACTGCACTGAGGAGAGGCAGCTGGCATATTTCTACCTCTGACAACCCTCCTTTACCTCAGCATGACCCACTGATATGGCATTTTTGTTTTCCCCACTCAGCACTCCAGAACGGTCGCTCCCAGTTTGTCATCAACGGAAACTGGAAGATTAGTGTTCCAGGCGAGTATAATGTAGCCGGGACCAAGCTGCTATACCGGCGCTCAGCAGACACCTGGGAGAGCTTCGAGGTGCCGGGTCCCACCAAGGAAGATCTCCATCTATTGGTGAGTGTCCCGGAAGATCCTGGGACAGGAGGGTTTGGTCACCATCTTGTGTCACTAGCTGGAAGTCTGAGACAAACCTCATGTTCATTTTAACTTCACCTTAGCTTAAGGCACTACAGCCAGTAAAAGGCAAACACACTCTGCTGAAGTTATTCAGCTGTTGTTAAGCATTGCATGAGGTAAGAAAACATCAGGTTATGATAAATAGTTCTCTGTGTTCGTGCTCTGTGCAGGTGTTTACACACAGAGCTGACTCAGGCAGGTGACAGCTGCTAACTGCTGCCTCCTTCTGACAAACTGTCTGCTGTTGTAATCAAACAGTGGAACAGCCTTAACTTTGGGACAAAAAGCAGTAAAATCCAGCAAAGTAAATATGTTACACTTCAGTATAATAAAATGTTGGTGTATGCAAAAGCAGATGGAAACAGGAAAAAGGCCCTTCAAGGCCAGTCCTGATGTTTTTAGGCTGTCCATATGTGCAGGTGCTGGCGACAGACAGAAACCCAGGGATTGAGTACGAATACTGGCTGCCACCAGACCAGTATGACCTCTACCATGGGAGGAGGAGTCCGCTGCGCCAGGCTCATCACACGGCCAGCTACCTCCCCTGGGATCAACCCACTGCAGCCACCACCACCACTACCTGGCCTCCTCCAGTGACCACCCGCCCCCACTGGTGTAAGACCTGCCTCCGGTTTCATTTGGTCACATTTAAGTATATTCAAAGATAAAAGCAGGAGTTTAGAGGAAAGAAGTGAATGCATTACCTACTCATCTCTAGAGTGTGTCAGTGAAAACCCCAGTAACAACACAGCAACGAAGAGGGAATATTACTGTCATTTCCTGTGCATTTACTCTGTGTTACCTCCACAGAAAGTGGTTCAGGTGATCTGGTCTCCTTGTTGTGTTATTTAAAACATATCTGATCATCTTAACACCCGTGTTTCTTGTCCCATTCAAACTTTGTAGCTGTTGTAGCAACGCCATAGCATCCGTAGATCTATTTCAGTGGCATCATAATCTCTAGATTTACCAAAATAAGACCACTCCCCCAATGTCTGTCAGCTCATGAAGCAGGTGGTTTGTAGCTGAACAGATGCACTCGATAAATCCAGTAACATTATGTCCAAGATGTTCCTCTTTGGCTTTTGGGAGGGGTGGAGGGGGGGGGGAATGATGATATGTAGACTCCTACGGGCAATTTAGAGTCGCCAGTCAACCTAAACTGGGAGGAAGTCGGAGTGTCTGGAGAGAACCCACGCAGGCACAGGGAGAACATGCAAACTCCGCATAGGAAGGCCGAAACTGGAACCCGGAACCTTCTTACTGTGGGTCAACAGAGCTAAACACCACCCCACTGTGCTGTCTACAGTCATGTCTAAATAACAAACAGTCTCCAACCAGAGCTTTGTTACTATGAAAAACATTAGGAGTTAATGGGGGAAATCCCAGATCTTTAGATACTGAGTAAAGCACTTGGATAATTCAGCACAAGCCTGGAGAAACTGCACCTCTGGGGTAATCCGATGGACATGCTATCCAAACACTGGTCTTGATCATGCTGATGTCCATGCACACCTGCATGTGTTTTCAGTCATACTAATAAGACTATAAGCTGTCCAGAACTAACAGGTGCAACAAATCAACAAGGGGATGAAGGAAATGCCAGTCAGTCAGAGAGTACACACACCCACACAGATGAAGCCCAGTCCGGCACAGTAAGTGAAAACACCTGTGTGGTGGACGACGGGTTAAAAAACACTCCATCTTCAGGTCCCATTTGATTTAGAAGAGTTTATCTGCAGGCAGACCTGCAGCTGCTGAGGAATGCAGCTGGTTATTCTCTCATAATGAGAGCAGTGCATGTGTTGAATCTACATGGAGATCTGCCTGAGAACCCAAGCCTTCTGTCCCATTCTGGCCACCACTAGTAAATCTGAGTAGTAGAAGTATTTGTGACTCTTATTGTTGCCACAAATAGTGGCAACTGACCCAGTTGACTGACCCAGACAACACTCTGTTTGTTAGGTAACATAGTGATCTTTCAGAACACCGAGTTTGGTCCTGATTTTATCATGTCGAGCAGGATGAGGTTGGAATGACCTTTGTAAGAAAGACTCTGAGCTTGTATTTATTTGTTTGTGGCACAGTATTTTCCTACTAGACTGCTAAAACTGAGAGGTCTGCTGTTCCATTACTATCTGACCAGTCTGTCCGTGCAAGAAGTGTGCCAGCATTTTCTTCAGTGGTTTAAAGTTGATTTGAGATAGAAGCTGGTTGGAGTGACTCTTTGGTGCATGACCATTCACTGAAACCAGGAGCTGGTGAATGAACAGCAGCGAACAAGACCAAACTAACTGTTACACTTTAACCCAGAAGAGCATGAACTACATCTTTACCAGTGAGTGCTGAAGAAGACGTCCTTCTACTCGAGTCTGGTGACGCTGGTTGATGTAGGTTGTCTGAGAAGAACCACGTGAACATGTACTGTAGGCTGGTATTGATCAGTTTCATCTTGCAGCTCACTGCTGTTGCTGACTTATGAAACCAGTAATCTCCAGTTACATTGCTTTTAAGATGAGAGTTCTAGACAAAGCAGACATTTCTGGCACAAAGTCACCCACTGTCAAGCATAGATGATGGAAAAATAAACTGGAAAGATAAAAAAAAAATCTGATAACACTTGCAGCATATAAAGCAACTTTAATGTAAGACCAACACATTTCAGCTTGTGGTCTTCATCAGGGTCTTCATACAGTTCTAACCTTATTTTGGGCATGTTCACATGAGGAAGTACCATAATGACATCTTTAGACCTCATAACTATTTTTGCTAAATTAGCTTGACCTGTTGGTTGTTCCATGGTGGAAACGAAGCAGCTGCACACAGATGGGAACCACAACCACTGTCAGAAAACAGCAGCAGATAAACGGGGACAAATTAAAGCAAAACCTGAATGATCAGATGCTGTGGCCTTCCCAGTCACTAGGCCTCAGCCCAGTTGAACAGCTATGGGAGATGTTGGAGTGACGTGTTAGACGACGTCTCCACCAACGTCATCAAAACACCGCATGAGGGAACATCTGCTGGGAGAACGGTGATCATCCCTCTGGGAGAGTTCAGAGACTTGGAGAGCCAAGGTGCAGTGAGACTGTTCTGGTGGCACGTGGTGGCCCAGCACCTCACTGAGGCTCTTTGACAAACCCCAGTTCCCTTATTTGATTGTTCCTCGACACAGATGTCATTACAATCCACTTTGAAGGACGTCCCAGAGCTCTTTTTCCTCCTCTGAGAAGTGAGGAAGCTGCTGGAGGAGCCATGAACAAGGATATAAAAAAACATCCTTCACAGAAGTTATTTAATGGATGGACGCACACCTTTAATAGAAATCAGTTCAAAGGATGAAGGATCAGAGCAAAAGACATCTCATTGTTGTTTCCTTGATTCCTCTCTCCTCGCATTTTCTTGTCACATCCTTTCTTCACATCTTACATGGGCAGGACTAAGATACAAGGAAAGGGAACCATGGATGCAATCGAGGGAACTGGGACTGACCCAGTATGTTAGTTTTTCCTTTGATTTGTCACTGTTCTGTCATCACTGTTAGCCACAATGTCTTTTTTAATACTAGCTGCAGCTGTTTCAGAACTGAGGCCCTTGCCCTGATCTGTGCCTCACCAGTTTTATCATGAAGGTCTACAGAAAGATCCATGGACCTTTTGTCCTGACATACAATGTGAATTAATATAAGTAAATTCAAATGTGCTTGTTTAATGTTTTAAAAAAGTCAATAAAATTACATTAATTTCTTTACAGTATACATTGAAAAGATGACTTATTAAGTTAAGCCACTGTTGACAACAGTGTGTGTGGTTTGTGTCTAACAGTTTTAAGGCCCGTGAAGCCACCGCGCCAGCATCCCCATCACAGCCGACACCAGCACCCTCACCAGCCCATCCTGCCCCGCCTGGAGCGGGAGGAGAACCACAGAAACCTCCTCCCTCGGCCCTCGCCTGGAAGTACGGTCACCATCCCTCCCCCCTCACCCATTTCCATCCACATTTCCCCAGACACCAACAAGCTGGAATATTCTGGGAAATATGCTCTTATCTCTGTGTACAGTAAAGAGCGAGGTTGTGGAAGTGTCCAGCCTAGTTTAGCATTAAAAATGGAAGCTATTCTTCACCAAAAGAGAAAAATACACCTTCTAATACAAAAGTAGCGTGGTCAGATATAGAACCCACCTCATGTGAGCTTAAATATCAGTGTAAGTAAATGATCGTTTCCTGCAAAGTCTTTTGAATGATGTCACAACAGCACTGATGGAACAAAAAGTAGTCCAGACTATAACAACCTACCAAAATCTATTTCTACCCACTCAAGTAAAAAAGAAAATGTATGTGGATGGAGATTTGCTGTGTTTGGCAACACTGCATTACCTCTAGATTATAATCAAACGAGCAACTAGATCACAATGAGGACATGAATTCTTAGATATTTTAGCTGTTGATTGTCAGGAGCTTGACCCCTCAAACTAACAATTTAAGCTCTCATTTTCAATTTTTTATTTAACGCAGACAAACCAAATGTAAATAAGTCGGCTTGGTTATATCTGCAGCATGATGAATTGACCGCTTAGCTTAGCGGTAGAAAATGAATGAAAAATGAATGATGAATTGACTGAATTGCCATTTAATTTTCACTTCAGTATTCATGAGAACCACTTGAATTGCAGATAAAATGTGAGTTATGGTCTGGAACCAATTTCTAACTAATTTCTAGCAACCTTCTCATCTAGTAGCTCCTAGTACAAAAGCCAGCAAACATGTTTCCAAATGGTGAAGTATTGCTGTAACACAGCATGTATTCCTGTCATGTCAGTAGATGTGAGCTTATGTCTGCTCTGTTTATCCTTCAGGGGACTGTGGACACTGCCGGCGGGTTAAAGGTCGAAGGGAACGACAGAGGCAGTATTGTCAGAAGGACTTTGGTGAGTGTGAAGCTTGTTTTTAAATGGTTTGTGACAGATCACTAATTTAATGGCAGCATATTTTACTGAACTGTTTCCTGTCAGTTTTCCGAGCCAGAGTCCTCAGGAAGCTGTACACAGGCGAGGAGACGCGTTATGACATCCAGATCATCCACACCTACCGGAACCGCTTCCGCCTGGAGCACCGGGAGTTCCTGTGGGTCCCTAATGTGTGTGACTGCCCTCACCTGGAGGAGGGGAGACAGTATGTGCTGATGGTGCGTCGTCACATTAACTATGAGCGCACACTAAACCGCATCCTTCTGGAGGAGGAGAGCTACGTGGTTCCCTACAAACCCAGAGAGGATGAACTGCTGCGACCGCTCGAAAGACTCTGCAGCAACAGAGGACCTGCACGGCCATCAGAGCTGAGGGGACAACTGTAGAGACAAACTGTGAGTGGGTTTGCATCATTGAATGAAGCTCATATTGAAGCTGTATCGTTTCCAACATTCCATTTCTGCATGTTCAAAACATCATCAGGCTCCACATGATTAAACCTGATGGTTTCCAGAGTGGCGTCACTGGAAAACGATGACAGTCGGGCTGTCGACAGAGTAGTTCAGCCTCATGTGGAAGTTGCAGCATTAAGACTCCACATTTATTTAAAAGCCAGCTTACTGTACCACATAGAGCACCTTAGGTGGACACTTGTGCCCATCTTTAAACACACACCAAAAAGAAGAACATTGACTGAAATTGACTTTTTGTTATTGCTGTGTCTCCACAGCTGTCAGCTGATTTTTACTTTACTGTATTTTTGTGTGTGTAAAGAAAACATTCACCTGAAAACATGCAAACAGCTACTTAACTCAGATTGAGCACCATTTTATCTTTGTCTTCTGCTTACACTGGGTACGGAAAGTGTTCAAATCCATTCACGTTTTCCACATTTTTTAGACGAGACGTGTTCAGACCGGTAACCAAGAACCCAGGTGTCACTATGGATGAGACCCAGACTTCCTTTCTGGAGATGGGAGAACCTTCCAGAAGGACAACCATCAGAGCAGGAATCCACCAATCAGACCACTGTGGTAGAGTGGCCAAACAAAAACCACTCCTCACTAAAAGGCCCATGACAGTCCACTGGGAGTTTGATGAAAGGTACCTGAAGGACCATGAGAATTCTTTTGTCTGACAAAACAAAGACTGAACTACTTGACCACAGTTCCCAACAGAGTGTGTGGAGAAATCCATGCCCTGAGCACTAATACCATGCTAGTCACACACGGTGGAGGCAGCATCAGGCTGTGGCCACTGGGACTGGGAGACTCGTCAGGATATAGGATGGATGCAGAAAAATAAGGAGCAATGAAATCCTTCTCCAGAGCGCTCAGGACCTCAGGCTGGGGTGAAGGTTTACATCTCGACAAGACAACGACCTGAAGCACACGGCCAAAAAAAAAACACAGCAGTGGCTTCAGGAAAACTCAGTGAAAGTCCTGGAGCGGCCCGGCCAGGATCTGGACCTGAACCCAACAGAACATCTCTGGAGAAACCTGAACATGGCTGTCCACCGATGCTGCCCATCCAATCTGGGGGACGTTTAAAAATTGTGCCATGAGGAATGGAGGAAAATTCCAAAAGAAAGTTGCTGAGTACTAAGCGAAGGGTCTGAATACTTATGTAAATGGGATATTTCAGTGTTTTATTTTTAATACATTTTCAAAACACCCCAAAAAACAGTTTTCACTTCATCACTGTGCAGAACTGTGTGTAGATTGATGAGTAAAAAATGAATGGAATTCATTATAAAAATGAGTCTGAAACATAACAAAATGCGGGAAATTTGAAAGAGTCTGAAAACTTTCCATATTCAGTGTGTGTCTGGACATATTCCCTGGTATTAACAGTGAAAGTCTGGTTTTGGTGTCAGTCCCTCAGAATTAAACTGTGAGGCTTTGGGGTCATAATACAAACCTGAAGTATCTTTACATTATGCATGAACCCCAGAGTTTGTGTTTTGAGGAACAGTGGGGAAAATTTTAAAGGAAGCTTTGAAGTGGGAATTTTCATCAAGAAAATCTGCAGTACCTCCAGAACGCTGTGTCCACTGTAGTGAAATGCAACATGTTCAGGTACATTTATCTTAGAAATGTCAGAAAACATTAAAATAATAGAAATAAAAAAGACATTTGCCAAAAACACAAATACTGAACCTCGCACACCAAAGTTTTGAAGGTGGATTTTTTTGTTTAGCTCTAAAGATATCTAACAATGTATTGCTTCACTATGTATTTATATATAAAATTAAGCTAAAATCATAACAGAGTACTTGTGTTACTCTTGTTTTATTTGTCTGTGTATTCGTGTTTATAGTATGTTCATATGAAATATAGGGCATCTTATTGTGTGGCATTGATTAGCTACAAATATACCAAAGCATAAGTTGAGTGTAATTGTTTGCGGTCGACTAACGTCTGTGCCTTTTGTAATGCATCTGAAATGTCACTTTTTGTCTCAAACCTCTTGCACCAAAAAAGTTTCTAAGTGGATGGTAATCACTACCTGTCTCTGAGATATAGTTAACAGAGATGCTCACAAAATCCAACCACTGCAACTTAAATAGGAGTTAAAGCTGAGCACACGTTTGAATGGTTTTTATTGTTAATTCCAACCTGTAGCACACGCTTTGACAGACGGGACTCAGAACAGCAGCATTTATAAGAAAACTGTGTATTTACAAAGCAGCTGTACATCTAAAACAAAGGGAGCACTACTCAGAAGTACAGGTGATATAACTGTATACATATATTTCTGCCACAGTACTTCTGTTAGTCAGTGCAGATGCCCAGCTCAGTTTGTGCACGTCAACATCAGCGTGTTGGGGGCGGGGGCGGTTTCAGATTCACAACACAGTTCACCTCAGCATCTTCTAGACATGACCACCTCATCTGAAGGCATGAGATAGAAAATGCCTTTTTTAGCACTCCTGGTTCGAAATCGAGTAACAGATGCAAAAAGCATCATGTAAACAATCACAACTTTCTATTTAGACATGATTAAGTTTAGAAGTGAATGATGTACTGTAAAGAAACCTGTTCCTCATTGTCAGTCATATGCAAAGTATTTTTGCCCAAATTAAACAGATCTCCTGTTGAACTTTGAAGAACATCATATGTACATTTCAGTTTAGCTGCCTCTGGGTTGTTCTGTTACGCCTCCTGTTGCTGAGCAAACACATATCAATCTTATGAAATGATGCAGAGAAAGTACTGAAAGACAACCTGTGGTCTGTGACACTTCAGGTTTTATTTTAACACATGAACAAATCTCTCTTTGGCTTTGAGTTAGAATAAAGAACCAGTCCCGAAGCTGCATCACTTGCTGTTCTTATTGAATGAAAGGAGGAAATTACATTGGTTCTGCCTGTATGTTTTCTGGATTGTAACTGTTGGCAGTAAGTGAAATAAAGTCCAAGCGATTATTCTGTAATTGCAGCATGACTTCTCCATTCCCTGTGGTTGCAGCACCAGTTTTCAATTTAAAGTTTTGTAAAAATTGGCAGCATTTACACTGGATTTAAGCAATAGTTTGACATTTTAAGCAATACACTTTGCTTTTTTGATGAGAGTAGATTGACACTACTGTCATGTCATGAACTATGAAGCTATAGGCCAGAGCATGAAGACCAGAGATGAGGCACAGCCTGGCTGTGTCAAGAGCTACAGAACACCAACTAAACCTGTATAGTGCAGAGATTAACTCACTCTATCTCCACTTTATAATATGCACAGAAACAGGAATTGACAAGCAACAAGTTGTGGTTTAGCAGGGAGTCATGTACTAAAATCATTCCTCTTCAGATGCAGAGTATTTGCCAAAATGCTGAACTTTTTCTAAGGCTTCTAATATAACAGTTCATTTACTGAACTTGAGAGTGAAATGAGAACCCAGAAGTTCAGTTGACAAAAACTGGAAGACTGGAATTTTTATTTGAGTTTTGGTTGATAAAAATAAAAAAGATGATGCAGGTATTAAGAAAAATTTCACATAGAAACAGTTCTTCCAGTGATTCCACAGATTAAATCACAGAGAGGCCGCCTGTGGTTGAAAAAAGTACATAAAGGATTTCCTCAGATATTTAGTTTACGTCTGTGTTTATTGTTCACATTTTTACCATGGAGCTGTTGTTTGTAAACTACTGAAATGTAGCAACCCGATCTCAGTTTGGACTCGGCCCCCCCGACACTGAGGAAGGTCTGTTCATGAGCTCAACCATCGACTGTCTCAGATCAGATGACAAACAGGGCGTTGCTTTTCCAGGACAGATTGTTTTGTTCATCATTTTAAAAACTTTGAACATTTGCTTTTGTATCAATATTACAACAAATATCTAACATTCCTCTGTTATAATATTAAAAGTCTAAATACTGCCATAAAATACTACATTTAAACTGTAGGACTGTATAAATGTCTCCATCTTTGCATCTACTGACACTGTCATTTCCACATGGTGAGAGCTCACTCCTTATCCCTTTGGCAACTCGCACCACAGTCAAGTCCTCATTAGTGGTTTAATTTCATGTACTGTAGTCGAGCCTTTGTTCTTCACATGTCAACGGAGCACCGAGGCCTCTGACCTCACAGCACTGAGTCTTTGACCCCTGTGAGCTGCAGGGCCCTGCAGGCAGGCTCAGAGTCATTTCACCGTTCATGTCCGCCTCCCTCCTGCCTGGGCGCTGTGTCAGACGCTGACAGAAACATGGCAGGGCGATGCGGAACGCCGTTTTATACGCGAGCGGCGAGGTCTGGCTTCAGACTGACAGCTACACAGAGGGCCCAGCAGCAGCCAGAGGTACAGGATCACACAGGCCCAGCAGGATGACATCTTCACCCAGAAGGTAGACCAGCAGCCATGGGTGAAGGTGGTCTCCAACACTGCTGACTCATAGCTGGGGGAGGATGACACAGTTTAGTGCCAGCATTTTGGTATGCTTCTCCGTAGAAAAGAAAAACCACAATGTTCTCTAAATTAAGCTGAAAGTGACAAAGTGCCATTGTTTAGTTTTATATGCAATAAATGAGAACTAGGTCAGTGTTTAGGTGAAACGTGCTAGATGCAAACCTGGACTAACCTGAACCAGTTAGTGAGGGTCATCATGACATAGAGCGAGGCCAAGAAGAAGACAAAGTGGAAGAAGAAGTAGCTGTAGGCCAATCTCTGGGTCTCGTTGTGAATGACCTTCTGACAGCCTTTAATCTCATCATCAATCTCAAACTCCTCTTCAGCTGGAAAAGACACATTTCATAGTGAGACTCAATGTAACTCCTCCCTGTAGAGAATAAGCACATTCATCCATATGTGTCCTGAAAACCCACTGTGTATATTGCAGTCATCACAAACCTGCCACATTCAGATGCAGAGAGGCCTTTTCTACTGTAGGAACCTACCAACCCCTAACACAATTTATACCCTTGTCCTGAGTTCTGCTGTGTGTATGTATGAACATACACACAGGACAAATGTGAGATCTACAGACTGCAAGAAAATGTTTGTCTCATTAAAGCTGCACCTCCTCTGATAGCCTCTGGACTGGCTCAAAGAACGGTCAGATAAAAGTTTGTCTTTTCCACAGGATGTCATGGTTGCAGCAACAATGGGTATTAACAAAAGATACATAATAATAAAAATAGGTTCCATTTTATTAAAGATGTCATATGAAGTTTCCAAGTTTTAAGACAAAGTAATGTTCATGTCTCCGTTCCTGCTCCAGTCCTGTGCCTGCATCTACATCCACACTGTGGTCTCTGCTACTTCCTGGAAATTCCCCATCCAGCGTCCTGACATCCCTGGATTTTCCCTCCATTCTCAGTCACCTGATGTTCCCCACCCACCTGCTCCCCTAATCACTTCCTGGTCTGTTTCCACATTTTCCTTCCCAGTTGTAGCTTTCAAGCCTTGCCTGCATCTTTCAGCCTGTTTTTGCCTGTCTGTTTGGATCTCCTGCTTGTTTTGGGACTGTTCCTTTTACCTGCTCATCTTGACAGTTTTTTCCTTGTATTGGACTGGATTACCTGTGTCCCTGTCACCAACCCTGCCTGCCTTGTCTTTGTGGATGTGCTTGAGGTAAGCCTGTTCACCATTTTTATCCAAGTGACCCGTCTGTGTGTCTGCGTTTGGATCAGCTCTGATTTTTGATTCTGCAACAAGAAGAACAGGGCACCGACAAGTAGCTGTTAATGGGGACTGTGCTGAAATGAATACAAATATATTGTGACAGTTAACAATGCAAAATTATCACGGGACTTGTTTATAAGAAGGGGCTACAGTGATTATATTTCATGCAAAGCCTTCAGCGGTTTGGTGTGGAGAGACAGTTACTGATCCTTTTCTGTCATTCATTTCTGGAGAGTGTTTAAACTTTTTGTTTTACTGCTTGGTATTTCTGAGTGTTTGTTGGTTTGTCTGTGTTTGTTGATTGCCATTTGTGCGGCGAGGAAAGCCCAGGCGATCGTTATGGGCGTATCACAACCTGTGCATGGTGAATACAAGTTGTTGCCATCAGGGCCAAGGTACAGTACAGGGTGCTGCTGTTGTGGACTAGTCAAACCCAGAGATCTTTCATACCCTCCAGTAAATAAATTCTTGTGAATGATGGTTGTATTAAGCTGCGTAAAGCCTGTCCGTGTTGTGTATGCTCATCTGCGCTGCGTTCATGTGTACATTTGTTGAACAATTGCCACAGACACAACAAGAATTTCCAAAAGGACAAAACACTGAACTGTTCTTTGTTTCCGCGGACATGATAGTTCATGTTCAGCGTTCTTTTTACCAAAACAATGTTTCTGACACATGTGTTCAATGCATTTCCTTCAACATACAACAGTGATACATAGAGCTACTAGATGCTACGCCTAAATTTATATTGCTTTTTCATTTTGTGAAATGTGGTTTGCTAGACTGACAGGAGTCTCAGCCTGTCAGTGTCATGGTGTGTCCAACATCAGCTCAGATGTTCCCCAGAATTGAAATTTTCTGGGCCTGATTACTGCAAACCTGCACATTTCAACAGTTACATTAAAGTCAGTACATTTTTGTGTGGTCAGTGTAAAACCTTTTGATTTCTGACATTACAGTGAGTGATGCTTCTCCTGATCATGCTTTTAGAAAAAACACAATCCATTAACAGTGCAGACAAAGTAAAGTTAGCATAAAGTAAAAACAGATCAACAGTGACAATCCAAGCAGTGCAGGAAACTGAACACTGATGCTGCTTCCTGTTTTCGTCACATTAAAATAAAACAGCAACTTAGTTTTTTTTACTTCTATTTTAATGTTAATGTTAGTGAATGTGTGCTTCTGAGAGGACAGTTGTATAACGTTAAGTGCATCAGTACAAACCTTCCTCTTCCTCGGGGCAGCAGAAGCAGCAGGTGGCTTTCTGGAACTCATAGCGATAAACCTTGATCATCCAAAATGGCCCAAACACCTCTGCCAGATAGGAGGCCTCATTACTGCAGGGACATTGGAGTAATGAGAGAGGGAACACTAATGTTTGTATTGTTTGAGGCGGATGTTGTGGATTATATCCTTATAGTTTTAACTTTTCTGTAGAGAGTGTGTTTACCATGCAAAGAGGACACAGCAGTACATGATGGCAGCTCCGATGATGGCCACAGCATTGCCTTCTTTCTGGATCCCGTCTTGTCCCACACTGGGGTAACAGACGGTCATGTTCATGCCCTGGTACACCACTGAACCACAGAAGAACACAGCACAGTCAGCTTCATTACACCATCACTCAGTTTGCCAATGGTTTATGTCAAGTGTCCTTCTGTGGATGATAATTAATGGCAGTTAGTGACAAATCCAAAAGTGGGGCCAGCACAGAGTTTACAATCAGAATCTGCTCTGTTGGCCAAGTATGTTGAACACACAAGGGGTTTGCCTTTGGTACAGTGGCCACACAAAATATAGAAATAGAAAACAATCCAAACCTACTGTATATAAATAGATGGTTCCTATTATTGTGGTGCAGAGAGCATCTGTTTGGTCTGAAATAAGTCTGTGTACATATTTAACTGATTCTGGAGAAGCAGCAAACATGGGTAAACAGTGCAGTATCGCGGCCCTGCAATAGCTGAGGCATGTCTAAAACTTTTGCTCTTCCTGTCTCCAGCTTGCCCTGGACGTTACAGTATCTGAGATTCAGTTTCCGTGTTTATCAGCAGGTTCACATAGTTCTGCCAGGGAAATGTTCGATGGTCTTTATTTCATTTCCTCTGAAATACTTTCTTTCTTGTAAAAGAGGCTTTGGTTGCACTTCTGGAACTCTCTCTCTTACACACTCACCCTCTGGACACTCTCTGAGGTGAACACAGAGCATTTAAAAATATGTATTGTATGTTCACACATGCATGTGCACGTGCATGTGCACAAGCTGGAACTCCCAGAAACACAAGTATACTCAGAGACCTTAGGCCAATTTTCAGAGGTTTATTTCAGATGGTTCTGAGAGAACTGTTGTGGAAGGAAAAAGACCTGGAGCTCAGTGAAAACACACACGCACATCTACACACACTTGGGTCAAGAATCATCGAGACAGAGAGAGAGAGAGAGAGAGAATTTATCCTGTAGTTTGAGTTGTCTTTTCATGTGCCCCCTAGAGTAATTCTTCCTCTCAGAAACACAAGGATTACCTTTGGTGTGTGTTTGGGTTTTTAGCCAGGTGAGTGGGGACAGTTGGGTCGCTCCTCGCACCTTCAAAGGGCTATGACTTGGCTGTAGAGTCAGGTTTAGGTTACGTTAGGGTTAGATGCTTGGCTGTGATGGTTAAGGGTAGGGATAGAATATGTCAGTTAGTGTCCTCACTACTATAGAAAGATAACTGTGTGTTGGGGGGGGGCTCTTTTAGGGGACAAAAAGTCAGTCCCCATAAAAGAAATCATACGTTGTACATTGGGGTTTTAGGGGTTGGAGGTGTAGTGGTTATGTGTCGGGCTCAGTCTCCAGGAGGTGACTGTCATGTCCTCTGAAGTGTTGGAAACATGACTCTGTCATAGTGAGGTCATAAGAATAATGGTGTGGCTCCTGGGGACATGCAAACAAAGACCTAAGAAGACTTAACAAAGTGGGGTTTCATTGTCTAACACCCACAGACCACACAGACACATCATGTTACCATGGGAGGTGAAGAGCCCCTGAACCAGAGCAGCTGAGGCTGGAAACCAGGCAACAGGAGGTGGGCATTAAATAATATGGAGCCTTGTGTTGTGTGTCTGTGTGCGGTTCACAGTCTGTGTTGAAAAGGTGTTTCTGTAACAGATTCAGAGTGCATATTTGCTCAACAAGTTGCTACAATGTCCTGCACTGCCCCAGGACTCTCACACACCTACTGTACACACTCATACAGTATATATACTGTACACACACACACACACACACACCTATAACACGCCTCTGTTCTAGCAGATGTTGTACACAAAAGAAACCATGAAATACAGCTCAGTTGAATACCTTTATTCAACTGGTCATTTTCTAATATTACAGAGCAGGAGAAAACACTAGTGACAAGAAAAACTAATGGCACTGTTTACAGTTTTCTGCATAAATTGGTCATGAAATGTGATCTGATCTTCACCAAAGTCTCAAACATCAACAAACGTGTATACTTGCCCTAAAACCTTTGTCACTTTCCTGTATAGAGACAGTGGTGACTGTCCAGTCTGAGCCCACCACTGCCATGGTGCTGGTTTGTTATAAACCACAGCTGAAGTCAGTCTGCATCCTTACTGAAACCACCTACTCCTGGTTTCATGGCAAAAAAGGATCCTGCAACACACTTCTTCTGTTTCTCTGTTTTTGGTATGTTGCATGTTTTTGCCAAAATGTGCAAAAATATTTCAGTTTGTCTTTAGCACAGGTGGCTGTTTCCATCCCTTGCACACTGGTCAAAAACAGAAACTAGCTAGATTTGTAGCCATGTCCTGAAGCTGCTGTGAATCCAAGTTGACTGCAGCTGCCATCCTGCACAGTGTTTCACACTGCACTGCCTGATGCTCTCATAGCCACTTCTAGCCAACAGTGTTGGTTTATTCTGTTGCTGAGATTAGAGTGTGCAGCAGTGATGCCAGATCTTCAAAGGCTTTAATGGGAGTTAAAGTGAAATTCTTGCAGCATGATCATGTTCCAAAAGGTCGTTTTCTAGTTCATTAATAAACATGCTTCAGCTGCAGAGCTCTGAGGAGGGTCAGACAAGGTGCCACAGAGGAGGACTTTATTTAGCCATACAGTATGTTGGTGCAGCATTTTGTTCAAGTTTTCTGCATTGGAAAAAGGACTGAAAAATTGTCCAACAAACAATGAATTAGGGGGCACTTTAGAATTCATTTGCTGTGTGTTTTTCCCTTTAACCTCTTATTCTACCCGACCTTTCCTCAGTTGTATAAACAGATTGTTAGTTAACTGGCAGGGCTGAAGAATGTAATGCACTTAATCTGTTCAACAAAGCGAGCTGTGTCAGAGCACATGTAATGATGCTGCCAGACTGTGCTCCTGTTATTATGTTGTCAATGGATCCACGAGGAATGTGAAACAAATATCCTTCAGTGTGCCCCCACCACAGGCCACCAGCCCAGCAGACAGCATGTCGGAGCACATTTCATCCCAGATTATCTGTGTGCATGAGTGTGTACATCTATGTTTACATGTGTGCCAGTTATAGGTGTAAATCCCAGACAAGAGCCCTCTGACACGCCACTGCGCTGATGCCTCAGTCACGTAGAGGTTCTTTGTTTTACCTGGCGCCAGCAGCTGAGTCATTATGGAAAAGTAAAGGCAAGTTATGGGTGATTTTACTATACATGTGTGGTTGGAGCTTTTCAGTATTGTCTCAGTAGGAATGATGAGGTTTAACCAAACAAACTCTGATAAAGCTTACATTAGGATTTTATCTTGTGATGAAATAAAAGAGTAAGCTTTTGTTTCATCTAATCCAGTATTCCCACATTCACAAACAAACTGAAAGTAGCCAATCACTGTAATAACTCCTCTATTCCACACTGTCTATGAAGAGTCATGCTCTCAAAAAGCTGTTGTTATGGACAAGACTCCTGCACAAAGAGGAATGCATGGGAGGTGGAATGCAGGTACAGTATGAGCGCTTCTTTCTCCAATTGCCTGTACCATATGTTTCAAGTTTAATCAACATACAGAGAAGAGCCTTGAATAATCCTCCGCAGTATTTGGCTTCATGCTAAAGGGTTCAGTGTTTACACAGGACAGACACACAATACTGTACTGGGTCTGGCTGGTTAACATACCTTTCTCTGGCGGGCGGCTGGACAGAGCAGAGAAAGTGAGGTACATGACGTAACAGCTGATGATGGAGGCCTGGAGGAGTCCTGAGCGAGGCTGCTCTGCAGAGACACAGGGTCAGGGTCAGAAACTGTCCTGCCCCCCAAAACCACGGGCCCTTGGGCCCAGACATGTGCAAGGCTCCCCACCCCCACAAGTAGAAGCAAGACTCCCAGACTGAAATAGAGTTTTGTGTCTGTAGTCATGGTTGTTTTACTTTGTTGTTTTGTGTCTTTGTGGTCATTTTGTCTCAGTTTAATCATTTTATATTTAGTTGTGGCCACTTGTTTTGTGACTTTCTGTTGTTTTGTTGTTGTTTTGCATCTCATTGCGACTGTTTTATATCTATTTTTAGTAATTTTGTGTTTATTTGTTGTTGACTGACTTTTCAACAAGTGTTAACTATCATTTCATACACAGGGGCCCCCCGACATCTCGGGCCCCTGGGCCTGTGCCCAGGAGGCCTGTTCACTAATCCATCCATGCCCAAAACACACACAAACAGCAGACGGTGGCAGGAAGTATTAACATCTCTTACTCAAAAACAGTATTAATCATAAAAAGTACTCGTGTTTAAAGTGCTGATAGTGACACAAATTGTAACAGAAGAGCTGTTTCTTTAAGTGTTAAGTTATTGCTGTGTTAATCAGGGTCTCTATATTTAGTCAGAACTCAGTAATTTATCAGCAGTTTATTTTGTTATTCTAAACTGATAAACACGCTCTAATAAAGGTAAACTGAAACTGCAAACAGCAGGTTGTAATGACATGGTAAAGTCCCATTATTTTTTGTTCCTTGAATTTACATTTGCATATATATGATTTTTTTGCAGATTTGTGAAACGGATATGAACAGTATATAAATGCAAAACCATAATGTGTAAAATATAAAAACTATTTTCATCCATCAGATCATTGTGGTGGGTTAAAAAGTTTCCCTCTGAATTATAATCTAGGAAAATTGTATAAATTCTCACAAAATGGGGGAAAAGTGCCAGTACCTTCATTTGTACTTGGTTACTTCTCACTCGTGTGAGCAGCTGTATGTCTCGATGATAAAACCAGGACATGTGCAAACAACGTTTGGATTTTAAACTGATAATATTATCTTACATCTAATTATTATCTGCAGCAGTGCTGGTTTCCACAGAGGGATGTTTGCATGAGATAAGTGAAATGTCACTGCTGAGAATTGATGACAGACGTGCAAGTGTGTTTCATCAACTCACTCTGTTTCACACATGGTGTGACGGCAATGAAGGACATGAGGCCGCACAGTCCCAGGTTGATCCACAGCAGGGCTTTGTTGAAGTGGCAGGCGATGGGGTGTGTGTAGTACTTGTACATGAAGGCGAAGGCCATGGTGGCGATGGTGTAGAAGAAGAGGGTGGCGCACGTCACTGCCAGGTACCAGCGCTTGTTTTCTGCTGCTCCGGTCAACCTGCCAGCAACACAGAGAGTTTCAGCCTCGCTCTACCTGGATGCTGCATGTGTCACACAGAGGTTTAGAATAATCTTATATGTTTTGTTTGGCATTGCAAAAAATTGCTCTAAATTAATTTAGTCACAGTTTTAGGCCACAAGTCAAGTTACGAGTTATTTATAGTGCAAAATTCATCTCAGAGTCAGTGGGTTGAATCTTTTGTGGTCAGAAGTGATTCAGACATTTCACATCAAATCCAGCTTATGCACCAAATTCCAGGTGCTTCTGCAGCGTAGGTCGAGGGTAGAAGTCCAGTGTGTTTTTCATTGTCAGTGATCTCAACTTGCACTGTAAAACACTATAATAAATAAAGAGTACTGAATGTGGATGCTGAGGAGTTATAGGAAAAAATAAGCCATTTATTGGAGTTTTTCTGTGACGGGGTGGTGCAGAAGCTTGTGCTAACTAGGGCTTTTGTGGGGTAATCTTGTGACCCGCAAACCCAGAAGAGAGAGAGAGATGGTCTGGTTTCAGGGGGAGGTGGATAAAAAATCCAGACCACTATAACAGGAATACGACTATTTTTAGTTGTCTTTGCCTTGGGAAAGCTCCTGAATGAATAGATCCTCTTAGTTACAGCTCTGCAGAGTTCAGAGACTGACGGCACAATGGCAACAGCTGGACAGTAAATAACATCTGGCACAAGCTGGCTGTCAGGGAACCGGTTGGCTAAATGAATGAGGACACGACAGGAAAGACACAGAGGGAAAACCCTAGCAAACATGCTAATGTAAGAAAGAAGTGGGAAAACAAACCAGTAGGAAAGAAAAAGAGAAATAAAGCAGAAAATTAGCAGCAAACAATGAAGCATTCACTGAGTTGTCAGTTTATTAGGAACACCTGTTGATTCACATGTGTGAACACAAACTGAATATGATTACCTTCAAGAAGGAGGATTTATTGCAGCACGCTTGGATTAGGCTGATTCAGTTTGAGACAACTGTTCCTAATAAACTGGCACCTGAGTGTATGAAGTCATACTGCCGTTTATCAGATGTACGACTACCAGCTGACCAGTAACATCCAGTCATATCCCTGCAGGTGTGCAGTGAGGCCATTCACCTTGGCACAGTTCTGCTGATACTGTCATGCCGACGCCCCAGCTGCCATCCCAGCCTCCTCCCTGCGTGTTAGGTCTTTGGTATTATTGACTTTATAGAAAACATTTAAACAATCAGTCGACTAATCACAGCAGAAAATTATTCAGCAGTTACTTTAATAATTGCTGCTCAGATTCTTTGAGTTTCCTTTCTGCCACCATTTGCTATAAATCCTCAACTGGTTCTGAAATGAATGGACATTAAAATTTGAAAAGTGCAGAAAAGGTTCACTGTAGAACAGATTTCAGCTACCAAACTGCGTCCGAGCAACCAAAGTGAGAGCCAGTGGAAAAAGTTGAACTGTCTTTGGGACAGATGTTAGTGAAGCTGGTCGGTGTGATTTACACAGCTCCGCTGGACTGAAGGTGGATACGTCATAACCAGTGTGAAACAGAGACTCCAGATGTGACCCAGGCTGCAGTTTGAGTGTGTGTGTGTGTGTGTGTAAGATGCTGCTTAAATAACACATTGCTGTTCTGTGAAAACCATGGGACTCCAAAATGACAACTTATGATTTTAGTTTTGTGATGATGCATTTCTCTTTCAGGTAAACAAATTCAGTTTTATAAATTAATTAGAATGGCTTTTTTGTTGTTGTTTTTAGCCTTTGTTTGCGAATGCACAATAGAGAGATGACGGCCAACAGGGCTTCTCCAGTGGTTTATGGGATTTTATGAACTGTACTGGTGGTGCAGTGGTTAGCACTGTTGCCTCACAGCAAAAAGGTTCCAGGTTCAAATCGGGGCCTTTCTGTGTGTGTTTACATGTTCTCTCCCACACTCCACGGACCTGCAGGTTAGGTTGGCTGGTGACTCTAAAGACACCTTTAGAATGTGAGTGGTTGTCTGTCTTCTGTCCAACCCTCCACAGGATAATGGATGCACAGTGATACTATGACAATATAAAACCTACACACACTCTGATATAATTTGACCTTCTCACTCACCAGTTCTTGTTCCAGGTGTGTGCAAAAGCTGTAATGAGGATGAGCTGAATGAGAATGAAGGCAAATCCTCCCACCACACCAACATAATGCCAAGCTAGGAGAGAAAGATGCAACATTGATTTATGTCAGGGAACTGATATAGAAAGGCAGGCAGAGAAAGAGAGTGAGCTGCAATTCATAAATCAGCTCTGATATCAGATTTATTGTTCCCAAACAAATGAAATGAAGCTTCAGAGATTTATGATTCAGTCACTCACAGCCGTGAGCTGACCTGAAGCAGACCTCTGCTGCCCTCCAGCAGGAGTCACAGAGAGGTGCAGCATCTCCCCTATTTCATTCATTCGCAGTGAGAAGTCATTTTCAGACAGATAAAAAACTGAGCTGCTCACCATGCAGGAAGGACTCTGTAGGGATGAAGAAGGCAGCGGTGCACATCCCGAGCAGGGTGATGAACTTCAAGAACCAGAAGCTAAATGAGAGACAGAGAGAAGGTTTTTGAAGGCTAAACATTAACTGAAGCCTACGATACACTGTGTGAACAATATGTACTGTAGTTCTCTAAAAGCTCTGCATGGTTCCTGTGCTTTGTTTTACTGAGACTGCTTTTCCCTGCATGTGACAAACTTGTTTTTGGAAAGTGCATTTTCTACAAATCACATACTTTTTATATTTCTATTTTGCACTGTGTAAAAAGTTTGAATGCATTGATCCTACACATTCATTTTTATAAGGTATAAATTGAATGCACTCTGCATTAAATGTGGTCAGTTACTATTTTGAAGTAAGGTAGCTGCATATAAACAATGTTAGCTTGACAAAGGTGATCGCACACTTGTTCACTGTGATGGATCAGACACCTCAGGCCAGTTATAACTGTGACTGGAAATAGCAAAAATGCAAAGTAAGGAGCTAAAACTTGCAAACACACTGGTATGTTCTTTAATATATATAATTAACTATGGATAAGTGTGGAGTGAAAGAGCCGTGTAAAAAAAGCAATGTTGCCGTACACACTGCCACATGCACTGTAATTTACAGTATCAGGTCAGTGGTGCTGCAGCCCACTCTCTGTAACCACTGTATGTTTCTGTCAGGTTTCTAAAGGGCCTATGTCTTTATTGACTGTTCTGTTTGAAAGTGAGTAAATATGGGACCTCGGACCTTTGCCAAATTCCTGCTTCTAACAATGATTTAACTGTAAGTACAGTGGCTTCAGTGACTATTGTGTTGTAGATTTACATTCTGAATGGATCAAATTGCCATTTCTATCCATCAATCTACATGTGTTAAGAATCTGTTTAGTAAATTTATTTAAAATTAGAAGAGTAGGGGGGTAAACAGTGTCTGTTTATTTCCTTTGATTTTAGCCATGGAACATTCTATTGTCTCCTGTCACCTTCTACAGGGCTTTGAAACAGTTGGAGATCCAAACCCACAAAATGATCAGTGGTGTACAGTTTGCACATGACAGCAGATTTTATTCAAACCTCCCTTCAAACAGTGTCTATGCCCATGTGACTCTCTCTGGTCTCCAAGGTTTCAGCAGGGTCACTCCCAGACACCCCCACCCCGCCTCCATCCCCAGAGCTCATAGCTGGAACCTTTGCCACAGGTTCTGAACCCTTTAAGTGCAGCACTGATAAGAGCTGTAGCTGAACCTGTTCAGTCCTAATCCGAGCTACAACAACAAAGCTTTAAATAGCCCAGGAGGCCAGGTCAGGTGAGCAGACTGCTGAGGCAACTCAATAGAGTTCACTACAGAGGTGTGGAAACCGAGCTCAGGTCCAGGTCCATAAGGTCTTTGTATCTTAGTTGTAACTTCGCAGAGAATTTCTTTTTCCTTTACAGATGTATTGTTTGTGCTGCAGGAGTAAATGTGAGCAAATACTGTTTTCTCTAGATTTGCTGTTAATTATTCTTGTGGTATATTTGGGATTTTGACATTGCAAAGATGGAGGAAGGAGGTGATCAGTTCTTTCTTTCTGATTGTCTGACTGTCTAAAAGATCAATAAAAAAACTGCAAATTTGTGATGACAGACAGTTGTTTCTATTCACAATGGATTGTGCTATTTAATGCCTTGTTTCATCTTTGAACACTGCGCTGAGCTCATGTGCACATAAAATATCAAACATCCTGGATTTGAAAATCTAAAATAGAAGAAGTGAAGCATTCATGATCTTTTTTTCTTTTTTTTACATCTGTGAAAAACCAACAAACTGTTTTTTCCCCCTCCAGATAATTAATTTATCTAGTTCTGGCAGTTTCAGTAATTACATCCATAATCCACATCATTTTCATGTTTACCAAAAGGCATTCGGTTGATTGGCCACAGACTTGGTTCAGAATAAACCTGTAAACTCTGCAGCACTGACCCGTTGTGTATGAGCGCTCTGGAGTCCTGACTGGACTTCACGTCTATGAGGAACATCGCCATCATCAAGTAGAAACAGGAAGTGCCAAAGCAGACTCTGTAGACCGCTGAGTAGCCGACCAGCATCTCACAGTGGCCCCCACCATGCGCCTGGTCACACACCATGTTGAAAAAAGGCACCTGAAACACATAAACACAAATTCATACTGGCAATTATGCATAATGCTTCCTGATTCATACAGTAGTTATGTAAAGCCAATGACTGATGACGGTATAGAGTAGGATTTTCTATCTTTACTATTAACTGTGTCTGAGCTGTTTAACATTCTTTCAGTTCTGCTGGCTGGCATATCTGTGACCCTGCAGCCAATCCCAGTCTTGGAGTAAAAGAGGATTAAAGAGCTGAACTCATTTTCTGCTTTTTAATTGTGTGTTTTCATAGCAAGTTGCAATTGTCTAGTGAGAGATTAGTGGCTGCTAGCTTTATATTTCAGTCTGTTTCTTTGATTTGTGGTAAGGTTTTGTTAACTCATCTCCTAGCAGCTTCACAGGGTCAGTGACTATTCTGACTGTCCTGTTTCCACAATCACCATCAGTCTCAACATGTAGTCACAGCTCCTCATGCACAAGTGTGTGTCAAATGAGAAGAAATGAATAGATACTAGCCTGCTGCTCTGCACTAAATATGGCACGGAGAAAAAGATCTAATACTTACTTTTTCCCTGACGAGCTCTGAGATGGTGCGGGACAGCATGAGGCAGGAGACGGTGCAGCTCATGATGTGGAAGAGAGTGTACATCACCCTTGTGCTAGTGGAAGATTTGGTCGGAGGACAGAAGGCACAGCAGAGCGAGCAGGGAGCCGGTCCACAGCAGCAGCATATCTGAGGAGGAGAGGACGGCAGCAGCTCAGCATCCAAACATACGAGCAAACGCAACGCACTAAGGACAAAGTGTAAAAGTTGATTCGTTTGGAGGACATATTGAAAAGAAGCCTAGAGTAACAGCTAAAGGCTGAAAGGAACTCCTAGGAGATGGTTAACATCTCAGTTCAGGAGTCTACTGCTACTCTCAGAAAACCCATCACTGCACACCTGAAGTTTGCCAAAGGAAGTAACTCTCCAGACTGACTCTCCAGAGCACTGCTGGGAAAAAGCTCCGTGGACTGACGAAATCAAGACTGAACTGTTTTGGAAGAACAGGGAAAAGGAAACTGCACACCAGCACAAAAACATCAGCCCAACAGTGAAGTACGATGGAGGGAGCATCATAACACAGGGCTGCCTTGCTCTGGACCAGGATAGCTGCCATCACCAAGGGAAAAAAGAATTCCCAGGGTTATGAAGGTATCTTCCAGGATAATGTCAGGGTGGCTGTCCACCAGCTGAAGTTCAGTAGGAGCTGGTGATGCAGGACAATGACCCTGAACATGGAAGTAAATATACCTTGTGGAGTGGTTCATTCAGAGCCCAGACCTTAGGCCAAAGAAGAATAAGCTCAGAGAGAGTTCACACCAGGCAATGTGGCTGAGCTGCTCTGTAGAAAGAATGGCCCAAAACGCCTCCTGAATGTTGCTGTCAAAGGAGGTTCCACGGACATTTCCACCAATTCTCTGAAAGTTTAATGGATGTGTCGGTATAGCTCATGTTTCATTTGGGGACAACTGGACGTAGGTCCATAACGTCTGATACTTCAGCAAGCTCAGCAGATTACAGTCTGGGGGTTATCTGCATTTTCAGGGTCACTATAAGATGAACGTAGCAGTGGAAACCTCAGTTCTAACATGTGAGAATTAGTGACATAAAAGAGGATGCAAAACAAAACTCACTCCTGGATAAATAATAAGGACCAACCCTAGAAGTGATTAGAGTTTGGCTGAAAAGGGTCAAAGGTTAAGGTCACAAAAAATAATGAAAAAAAAAATCGCGAAAATTCCAATCTTTAACATGCAGCAAAATTTAAAATGTTCATATCTCTATCAAAAGTTATCAAAATCATTAGAAATTTGACACACACGTAGGGTGGCAATGATTCTCAATCTGACGGACATTTAAAGTTAACATTGAAAACCCAATTAACCGCATATTTTCTGCCATAACTTAAACGTAAAACAAAGATAGAACCCTAAGATGTTCAGGTAAGATGCACAGTGGATCAAAGATGATCCGGATCTGATTTTAGGACACATGTTATATTGTTATATTTTTTACAATGGGCCCATTTGCGTGAGCAGATGTTGTGCCTTGGCGGAGGCGCACATGCATTCGTAAAAAGTTACAGGGGATTTATTTTTGGAACTTAAATAAAATTTGTTCCTTCCATCAGGCATTACAGAATAAAATTTTTAAAGTAATTATTACTTTCATTTTGGTTTTATGTTTAGATTCAACATATCATCTTCATAAATTTTTATATAGTCAGTATTGTTTTACATCACTTATATTATTTTATTTTACATTAACTACATCTATTACAGCTGCATGTACTTGGTGGATAAAGTTTCTGATTCTAATTTTGATTTCTATCATCCAAGTACTGCAAAATCTGAAAAGCTATGTAGGCCAAACACACCATGTTATTGCTGTACAGCTGGACTAACTTCCAGCTGAAAAAAACAAAAACTTGTGCATTGCTGTTTTACATCCAAGTATAATAAGTTTATAAAAGATGATTCATCACAATTTAACTTCCCAACATTGCAAATTGTTACAAAATAGCTTCACTTCAAAGCTATGATATGAAAATGCTGTTTCATTAGTAATAATAATCCAGTAATTTAACACTGAAAGAGACCGTTCTGCACAACATATACTTACTTCAGTAGCAGGACATGTAATGCTAATACATAAGATATGTGACTATGTCTTCCACCACTAAATGGACATCTTGATAAGACAAATCTCACGCTATTTCAGAGGCATTTCAAGTAATCAGTTCCCTCTACCAGTATTATTATTAATTCATTCAGCTCCAGAAAATGACTAAAAATCTGCTTTTGTCTTAAAATCAATACTAATCTGACACTAAACTAACCCTGAAAACTCCAAACTCTAGCTGCAGTTGCTGCCGCTCCCCAGCTCTCACCTGATAGGCCACCATGTTGAGGAAGTAGTTGTAGAAACCACTGCGGTTCATCCTCTGAGAGGCCGACATTGTGTCTCTAAACTGCTTTTCATCAGCCACCACTGCTCTACATTTGGCCATGAACATCCGGCACAAGCGACTTTTCTCAGCACACCTGCAAAGATGGCATCTTCAAATCCTCAGAGGCCAGGACATAACTCCTAACAGGACTGTGAGAAAATGAAAACATGAGGAGGAAACAGACCAACAGGTTGTCCACACAGTCCTCTCTGCTGGATCAGCAGAACGTCTCCTCCTGCTGGTCTCCTGCATCTGAGAGCCTCAGCATAAGCGCCACTTCAGCTGCTTTCAGTCCAGCCTCAAAGTGGAACAAGTTGGTTTTTTGCCCATATCCTGGTTGCTTTGGCTCTGCGGCTGTGCTGGGTGCTGCCAGAAAAGGGAGAGCTGCTGCCAAATGCCCAGTGTCCTCCCCCCGCCGTCCTCCCCCTGTCGTACTCGGCCAGATTAGTCTGTGAGAGGAGGAGGGGATGAGGAGGAGGACAAGGTAAACAGGGACCGTGTGTCCATCTGTCCTTCCTTCCCTTCCCCCAGCGCTGAACAAGCCCCACAGCACAACAGCACTGGGTGATACTTATGTTTGATTCATGTTTATAAAATTAAACAATAACCCTGTGTGATTTCTGACACTTCTCAGCCTCCTGCCCTACCAGACGCCATCTGGGTCTGAGTCTGTGTGTCACTTGCAGAAAGAGGCCATGTCCATAATCGCAACAAGTCCTCATGGCTGCATTATGACACAAAAACACTGATGTGGGACAGAGCTGCCGGATTCAGCAAAGGCAGGATGCATCACGGTCCACAGCTTCATAATCAACAGGCCAGTGGACTTTTGGGGAAGCACTAATGGAGGCTAAAAGGCACCAGGCATAAAATCAAAACTTTGTTGCAGTTCATATTTTAGTCACTTTTACTGTGTTTTGTCAACCTCTAATTAAAATCAACTAGCCGAGAGCAGTGGAAACTGTAATAAACTGGCATGGCTGTCTGCTGCTTGAGGATGTTTCCAGCTCCAGAGTTCTACACTTTCAGATATTTGCAACCTTTCATGTGTTTAGGTTTGTCTTTGCTTTAGCTTCTGGTAAGTCTGACACCAGGAGGACTCCTGGACAAAGCAATTTCAGGGTGGTGTAAAAAGCACAGAGTGCCTGAGGAGAGAGTCAGATTAGATTTGTGTTAGTGTGCAGGGTGGAGCATCGGGATAATCCTGGTGTTGTTCAGCCCTCCTCCCAGGCACGATGACCTTCACCAGCCTGGACAGAACATTCGCCGCAGGCGCGCTTCACTGTCCAGTCAAAATGCACGATTTTTTAGGCATTGCTTCTCACCTGGTGCAACAAATTGCAATTTGGTGCAGTTTGGTGTGTGTGACACACCAAACTTTAATTTCTGCTGTTTCTGGCTGGTGGATTATAAAGGACCAGTGTCAATCTGAAATTAAACTACTCACTGTATCTGTTCTGATGTTGATGGTTTGAATAAAAAAATAAGTAGGTAACATGTTATCCCACAGGTCTGGTAATTCCAGTTTATTTCCAGATAATTTCCTGGATAATTCACACTCCTTTACATTTGTGAAATTGCACTCTTAGCTTCATTTTATTTATTTGACAACTGTGGCTACTTTTAAGATTAAGATTTTACATATAAACCATGATCATCTTATAAATTATTATACATTGTTATGTCTGTGCAGATTCTCAGTCATCCAGGTCATAGTAAGCTGAAAAAAAAACTTGAGGGTGAGAGTCAAAGACAGGTAACGACTGTCAATCAATACTGGGCTATAACGACTCATTGTTGGCCTTCAAAGGACTGAAACACCACAGAGGGGGATAAATATCTCCGGCTCAACACCAGTCAGTCAGAACTGATGAAGCCTCTTGGATGAGAGGTGAAATGTCTTCAAGCTAGAAATCTAGTCCAGTTGATTTTTTTCTAAGTTTTTTTCAGCTATGCATTGTTATGTTTCAGTTGTGTGACTTGTATAAGTTCCAGCATTTCTCCTCTAAGCCTCTGGTTTCATTTTATCATGTGGGGTCTGAAAAAATTCACAAGAAAAGAGTAAACAAAGTACCAGAGTGATTATAGCAGAACTTTATCTTCATGCCTTTCCTCTCCTATTAATCTCATGACCCCATAGATTTGTCTTGTGACCTCCTGGAGGGATCTGAGCCGTAATTTGGGACCCGCAGGACTACACAACCTGACTATAAGCTTCACCTCCAGCAGCTACAATGGTAAGATGCATCAGTAATCTAATATTCTAATATATAACAATATTTCAGTCACAGGGGCCCTTTTTTGCAGAACAACTACTTTTACCTTTGACATGTAAGGACATTTTTTGATAACAGGCCTCTACTTTAGTATTGTTGTATTGCTGCTTTTGCTCCTTTTACTACAACTTAATATCTTCCAAACTGTCTAACACATATACCTCAGCTGTACCTTGTGTTTTGTGCTCATTAAAAAGTATCAGCATGCTAACGTTGTGGGCGGTCTGGTGCAGTGACACGTCTGTAACCCTTAGCTCAAACACTGAACACTGAGCTCTTGACATGAAGATGCTGTGTATGATGGATTCATGTGCTGTTCGTAATTTCTGAAACTGCAGAAAGTTAAAGAAGGGTAAAGAGAATAAGACAGACTATGCATTTGAACTTTGCATTTACAGTAGATAGTTGTCTCATAAACATGTTCTCCTAAAAAATATTGTTTGTTTCATATTTCCTGTCCAGCAGGTCAAACTTTCATCAGGGACTCCTGACTGTGGAACAGCTCATCAGTCGCATCCTCCGGTCCTGCCCAGAGCTTATGGGAAGACATATACAAAATATGGAGTACATCATTCAGTTTTTGTTTTGTTAGCTCTAATTTTGTACTTATGGAGTAAATGCCAAGAGAAATGGTGGACAAAGGAGATGAGTATATGTTTAAAAAATATTAAGAGTGAGCCCTTTGAAAAAATAATTACAGGTAAAATGAGCTTTTACAACAAAAGACATCTTCTAAAGTTTAAAAACGATCATTGTTTCACATAATATCCCTAATCTCTGTCTGTCTAAAAAATGCCTGGGTGCCCCTTTCACTCTCAGACAATTGATGCTGTCTTGTGGGAGAGGAGGAAGTGCCAGAGAGAGCAAACAAAAACAAATTAGCAGATGCAAATCGTCGCTTGATTGAAGGCGCTCAATCTATGGGTTCAATAGCCTTGTGCAATAACAGCTGGCTGAATCCCAACTTCTTTTAAAAGACAGAGACAAGAAAATGATCCATTCATTGATCATTTAAGGCTCTTTTGAGCCAAACTCTCAGGTAATTGTGTTTTGACCAGTATTTTCTTTTCAACCTGTTTTACATGTAGGTAAATTAAAAGCAGGGAGTTGTAAATGATCCCCTTGTATCTGCATAAGGATGATCCTTCCCACGGAAAACAATGAACTCATTCATAACTGCAGCATGACTGAGTGCTAAACCTGCTAATACGGTGAGGAATCAGACTGGGGACAGATCAGTAATATCGGCCCTGACCTCATTCTTAAATTGACATATTAATGGCTGAAGTTTGGTGGAGAATGGAAAGAAGCTCGTGTTTTTATTGTTCTGACACCAAAACCTGATGTTTAATGTTGTCATTTTGGTTACACAGTTTTGTTGGTTGGTTATTGTATGATTATTACCCTATATGGTCAAAAGTATGTGGACAGCCTGGTCTGCATACTCTGTCTTGTGTACTTTTGTTTTGGGGCTGCTTTACCTTAGTTCCAATTAAGGGATATGGTTGGGAACAGTGGTTTAGTGACTTGCAATCGCTTAAAATAATTTACTGAATTTACTGATTACTTAATCAACAGAAAAATAATTGGTAACTATTTTTATGACAAATTATTGGTTTAAGTCGTTTTACTCAAAAATGCTATAGATCTTGTCGTTCCCACAGAAATGTGAGAATTTACTGCTTCTTTTGGGCTTTAACATTATAGTAGGCCCAAACTTTATATCTCTGGGCTGTTGGCCAGAAAAAAAAACTTAGTCTGAGCTTGGTGTTTCTAATGAACTGACTACTGAGTGTAAAATGTTGTAGAAACTTTTATGCGGTAATTACATTGAGAAAAGAGGCTGAAATATGCTGAGATTTTAGTTTGTGCAGACTTTCTTATGCCTCTTAAACACTGTTATTTAGCCTATCTACTGCAGATACTTGTGTTTACTTGATTCAGTTCTTTGTACAGCCAGGACATGCATGTGTTAAAAGAAGAACAGGGTCCACTGAGGCTGCATACTTGTCGCTAAGATGTTCATGCTATGGCACTGGTGTTAGCCTATATTTGACCTGTTAGTCTTCCACCTTGGTGTTGTGCTGAAATCTCCTTTTCTTCAAGATAATTTTTCCAGACTGTAGTAAACTCTTTCACATGCATATGCCTGCCTTTTTATGTTCTAGCCCTTAGTACCCTGATAATATTTTCTAAAAGACATCTGTCATACTTTTGTATTCTGCATGTTCACCATAAGCCAACTGTTGCATCCTGCAGAGTCTCACCTGACCCCTGTCTTGACATCATGACCCTGAGAGCTCCACACAGTCAGACAGCTGCCAGTCATAGAGCAGGATAAAGGGGTTGATGTGACAACAGTGACATCTCTCCGGCCTAGTGGTCATTTCTTCAACTGTTCATGACCAAAAACAAATCCTGAAGGATGAAACCAAAGCAGAGAGCACTGATGTGGTTTGCCATCCTGCTCTGGGTTGAAACTCAACTCAATTCAACTCAACTTTATTTATATAGCGCTTTACCACAGCACAGCTGACCAAAGCACTTAACATATCACACAAATATAAAAAACAACACATAAAAAGCTCTAAACAATAATTTAGACACTAACACTACAAACAGAGTCTCATTCCTGGTCAAACGCCAATGAATACAAGTAGGTCTTCAAATAAGACTTAGAAGTAGACAGTGAGGGGGCCTGCCTAATATAAAGCGGCAAGGCATTCCACAG